GTTCTCCAAACCTAAGTATTAGGAACGTCCCGTCCGCCGACCAGGTTGCGTTTGCTGATTCCATCGCAAAATGAAGAAAAACCTTTAAAAAACAGTGGAAACGAACTCAAGTTGGTCAAAACAACGCGATCAAAAAAGCTTGCAGGTCGCACACGGCCAGGATGCTGCCCCCGTGACCCCGGATTATTGAGGCAAAAACCGGTTCAATAAACCCTTAGCGTTCAGACCAGGTTTTTCGGTGGAAAACCCCCACAAAAAAACCTCAAAAACTACCTCCCGAGGTGGTTTTTCAAAATCGGATTTAAACCCCTAAAAAAACGGTTAATTTGCGTTCACACCAGGTTAAATAAAAACCGGTTTTTGAAAAACCGGTTGAAACCGCTAAATATAAGTCTGGTATGAACAGGGTCTAAGATTTTGAAGTTTCAGATTCAAGCTCAGAAGAGGAGCAGGAGCAGTAAGATCTGTAATTAGGTTTTGTTTTATACGGTGTACCCAAAAATTTTTGGTGCACCTAATTTAATTTTTTTTAGGTTGGGTGCACCAGTGCACCTATACATGTGCGTGTATTCCCAAAAATTAATTTCGAGCCCTTGACCGAGTTGACCAGATTTGCCATGGGCCGAGTTGTTAATGGTCCCAGTCCTCCTAATGCTAATAATACAGCAGGACTGAAATTTATTTGGAACAATGCTAATTTATGCATGCTTACATGTCCTTGTCAGGGGGAGGGGGTTGTCTGCTCCGGGGTGACCTGGACGCTCCCGCCGTCCGGCAGCGTGGAGATGGTGGCCAGCAGGTCGTCGGACCTGTCCGGAGTGACCACGGTCCCCGTCACCAGGTGGTGGTCAGCGGTCAGTGTCAGGACCACAGGGCTGGACGTGTTGTAGGTGTACACCTCCGACTCAAACTGGTGACACGACTTTGGGGTCAGGTGGTACACACCTGCAGAGGGCATCATGGGATGCATGGAAGAGGGCATCATGGGATATCAACATCCTCACAATGATCAGCATTTTTATCAAATCAAATTTTATTCAGTGAGGATCTCATATCATATGTACATGTACATAGGATTTTCAGTACAGATCACATTCAAACAATGATTTGTTACACTCCTTGTACTATGGTATGGGTAAAATGTCATGAAGACTACTGTATCTATACCTGGTTGTGCCAAGCAGAACTTGTTGATGCCCCGTTTCAGGTCAAAAGATCCCACGTTGCGCCCGTTGCCGTCCTGGCTGAAGTGTAGACTGATATCGTGTGACAGGGAGCACTTCAACATGAACCCTGCAATACAAACATGAAAGCATTATATATACATTAAGTACAGTAGGGACAGGGACAGATACAGAGGTTTAGATCAGGACCTGTACCTAGCTGTACCAAAACAATTTGACAAATCAACATACAGTGTAGGTTCTTCTGAAGTTCCTTAATAACAATAGAAACAACAGTAATAAACTTGACAGAATCTTTATTCAAATAAAACAGGACAGAATTAGTTGGTCTTATCATATGTCAAACAGAACCTTGTGTATTGTTGAATTCTGAGTGTACATCCTACAATACTCTGCTCTATAGCTGTCTTGAAAGATTTCTTGCATATCATACATTGTAAGTTTATGAGCAAGGGCCAGTTCTGGCCTAAGCATTTAGACAAAGCAAGATAGGCAAGACTTGCTCCCTCTAGATGTCATTTTGGTCACCTCTGTGTCACATGAGGCCACTAGGGTAGTGGTACAGTTTATTGGTACAGTACTGGTAATTAGAGATTCAGTACTTTGGAACTGTACCTAATCAATTTTTGTGGTAGTGTACACACAGCACTAGTATGCAGCCCTAATGTAAATCATCTAAACACATACATTTGTAGTATAATTATCAAATGAGCATGAGAATCATACATGCCATGGCAAATCATAACAGCCTGCCTACTAGACAAGGGTAGCAGGACAAGGATAACAAATCTATATAACAAACTGAAAGATAATGTGGATGAATACCAGTTTTTACCTGTTTGAATAAACACCAGGCCCTGAATGTCAGAGTTTGCTATGTCGACTGTCAGGCTGGCCTCTTTCCAGCACCACTGCTCCTGTTGAACAGTTACTGCACAGGATGGAAAAGTAACATTATGATATTAACATGTGATATGAGCACTGTGGGGTCTTGTGGTGTGGTGTTTAGCTCAGAACCCAAGTGGTCCTGGGTTCGAGTTCACCAAGCTCATGCTCTAGGCACTTAACACAATTTTCCACACTTCACTCGGGTAGAAATGAGTACCTAACTTCGGTTAGGGACGTCCCTTGTATAGAACGTTCAATGGAGGTCCCGTTTGAGGACAGCCACACCTCAAGCAAACCGAAGAACCCGCAAAACTGAAGCGGGCCTATGGGTCCTTGCCAGAGTGTATCAAACCATTCCAGCCTAAAATGGGAATTTTCCAAGCAACCTTCTTACAATTTATGACAAAGCATTATAGAAAGTTGAATGTCCATTTTGCTCCAATTTTACTCAAAAATGTCAATGGATAAGTAATTGAGCAAGCCAAGTTACACAACTAGAAAAACACCAACATTAACACTCACCAGTATATTTGCCAGGAAGTACATTGTTGAATGAGAAGTTGACAGTTTTCCCCTCGGAGGGTTCAGGCTGTGTGTGGACCAGGCTGCCTCCCTGGTCTGCACGCTGCAGGGACAGAGTCACCGAGCTGCAGGACTCGATACACTGCACAGAACCGGACACAACCGCCTGGAACTGGGTGAACAGGATGTCCATCTGTGGCTGGCTGGTGACGGTGACAGCATGGCTGGGCGGGGACAGCTGGAGGCCGGCTTTCTGATCAGCAGCAGACAGCATCACCGTCAGAGTGTAGGACCCTACCATATGGGAGGCATAAACAGTATATCAATTTATAAGCAATTGGTCAGGCCTAGAAAAAATGTTGTGTTTCTGGTTTCCTGACTGACCGTAACAAAAAACTGCCATCCCTACCCTAACATCATTTAACGCATTTCCACAAGCAATTCTTTCTTATTATAAATATTTGTATACAAGCAAACGGGTCCTTGAGACATACAATCCTGATGCATTGTTAAACTTTGTTGAATCAAATCTAAAATATAAAGTTTTTTAAAAAAGAGAATCCCTGTCTACTGTCCCTTAAGTTTCTTCATTACTGAAACTGGAAACACAACGTTAATTTTCATAGGCCTTAGGTGTGAAATGATCATATAGAAAACATTAGGTCATTAATTTCAGTTGAAAAATTTGACAGAAAATTGGCCAATGAAGTACCCCTTGGTGCCATGAAGCAAAAGGAGCCGTCCTGTTGTGTGGAAGCCTTGTTGACAGCTCCGGTTGTGGTGCTCTCCAGTTCCAGTGCCCACGCCCGGTCACGGCTAAAGCCATCCGGCAAGGCCACAACTTCCAC